GAAGCCACTCCTTCGTTGCCCAGGCGGTATGTTTGGCATCATTGTCATGTTGGAAGACCCAGCCACGTTTCATCTTCAATGCCCTTGCTGATGGAAGGAGGTTTGCATTCAAAATCTCACGATACATTGCCCCATTCATTCTGTCCTGTACATGGATCAGTCATCCTGGTCCCTTTGCGGAGAAACAGCCCCAAACCATGATGTTGCCACCCCCCATGCTTCACAGTAGGTATGGTGTTCTTTGGATGCAACTCAGCATTCTCTCTCCTCCAAACACAACGAGTTGTGTTTCTACCAAACAGTTCTATTTTGGTTTCATCTGACCATATGACATTCTCCCAATCCTCTTCTGGATCATCCAAATGCTCTCTAGCAAACTTCAGACGGGCCCGGACATGTACTGGCTTAAGCAGGGGGACACGTCTGGCACTGCAGGATCTGAGTCCCTGGCGGCGTAGTGTGTTACTCATGGTAGCCTTTGTTACATTGGTCCCAGCTCTCTGCAGGTCATTCACTAGGTCCCCTCGTGTGGTCCTGGGATTTTTGCTCACCGTTCTTGTGATCATTTTGACCCCACGGGGTGAGATCTTGCATGGAGCCCCAGATCGAGGGAGATTATCAGTGGTCTTGTATGTCTTCCATTTTCTAATTATTGCTGCTCCCACAGTTGATTTGTTCACACCAAGCTGCTTGCCTATTGCAGATTCAGTCTTCCCAGCCTGGTGCAGGTCTACAATTTTGTTTCTGGTGTCCTTCGACAACTCTCTGGTCTTCACCATAGTGGAGTTTGGAGTGTGATTGTTTGCGGTTGTGGACAGGTGTCTTTTATACTGATAACAAGTTCAAACAGGTGCCATTAATACAGGTAATGAGTGCAGGATAGAGGAGCCTCTTAAAGAAGAAAGTACAGGTCTGTGAGAGCCAGAAATCTTGCTTGTTTGTACATGACCAAATACTTATTTTCCACCATAATTTGCAAATACATTCTTTCCAAATCAGCCAATGTGATTGTCTGGATTTGTTTTTCTCAATTTGTCTCTCATAGTTGAGGTCTACCTATGATGTCAGTTGCAGGCCTCTCTCATCTTTTTAAGTGGAAGAACTTGCACAATTGGTGGCTGACTAAATACTTTTTTGCCCCACTGTATGTCTTTGGTTCAGTCTTTGCTTGCTGTATGAATTTGTGTTTTGTTTTCCCTGAAGTGGAAACTATATGTTTATTAACACCTATAATATGATACTATCGGTTTCTGTATTTTATACCAACCAAGCATCACTTCATGTTTCCACATTGTTAGCCAAGTGCTATTATGTCTATCATTATCCACTGCCCAGCCTTGGTGTCTTGAGGCTGTAGCCGTCGGTTATATGAAGCTGATGCCCGTGACACCTTTTTTGTATCTAGGACATCAGTAACAATTACTGTGGCCAGGTCTCTTCAATTGTATTTTATGACTTTCCATGTATATGTTTGATGATCATGCTCCACCTGTTGGTGGTTCTTTTTTAACTCAAAAAAAAAAGTGTTCAATTTTACGAACTGTCATTACATTTTTGTACAATTTAGTTTTATTTATATGGTCTGGTACTTTTAAAGCCCCACTAGTTTTTCTTGGTTATGGTCCTATTCAATACAATTCTCATTAGGGGTGTGGGACCAGTAAAACCGTGTTCACAAGGTTATGGAGAGTCATTTTTTATCCATCTCCCACTACCTATACATTTAATGCAGTTGGAGCCGGGTGGCCCCCAGGCAGGATCCAGCGGGAGCAGTGTGCTCCCAGCCAGGATCCAGCAGGAGCTGGCTGCCCCCCCCCCCCCCCAGGATCCAGCAGGAGCTGGGTGCCCCCCCCCCCAGCCAGGATCCAGCAGGAGCTGGGTGGCCCCCCCCCCCCAGCCAGGATCCAGCAGGAGCTGGGTGCCCCCCCCCCAGCCAGGATCCAGCAGGAGCTGGGTGCCCCCCCCCCAGCCAGGATCCAGCAGGAGCTGGGTGCCCCCCCCCCCCCAGCCAGGATCCAGCAGGAGCTGGGTGCCCCCCCCCCAGCCAGGATCCAGCAGGAGCTGGGTGCCCCCCCCCCCCCCAGTCCAGGATCCAGCAGGAGCTGGGTGGCCCCCCCCCCCCCAGCCAGGATCCAGCAGGAGCTGGGTGCCCCCCCCCCCCAGCCAGGATCCAGCAGGAGGGGTGGCCCCCCCCCCAGCCAGGATCCAGCAGGAGCTGGGTGGCCCCCCCAGCCAGGATCCAGCAGGAGCTGGGTGGCCCCCCCAGCCAGGATCCAGCAGGAGCTGGGTGGCCCCCCCAGCCAGGATCCAGCAGGAGCTGGGTGGCCCCCCCAGCCAGGATCTGAGTGGACCCAGGCAGGATCCAGTAGAATCTGAGTGGCCCCAGCAGGGGCGGACTGACCATTTGGAAACTCGGGCACTGCCCGGGGTCAGTAGGGGGCCCCATGAGATGCCCTGGTACCTTTTTCATAGGCTTTTTTGGGACACAGGGGCCCCATGATCCCTTATTGCCCGGGGCCCCCATGAGTTCTTCAGTCCGCCCCTGGGCCCCAGTCAAGGATCCAGTAGGAGCTGAGTGGCCCCAGGCAAGGATCCAGTAGGAGCTGAGTGGCCCCAGGCAAGGATCCAGTAGGAGCTGAGTGGCCCCAGGCAAGGATCCAGTAGGAGCTGAGTGGCCCCAGGCAAGGATCCAGTAGGAGCTGAGTGGCCCCAGGCAAGGATCCAGTAGGAGCTGAGTGGCCCCAGGCAAGGATCCAGTAGGAGCTGAGTGGCCCCAGGCAAGGATCCAGTAGGAGCTGAGTGGCCCCAGGCAAGGATCCAGTAGGAGCTGAGTGGCCCCAGGCAAGGATCCAGTAGGAGCTGAGTGGCCCCAGGCAAGGATCCAGTAGGAGCTGAGTGGCCCCAGGCAAGGATCCAGTAGGAGCTGAGTGGCCCCAGGCAAGGATCCAGTAGGAGCTGAGTGGCCCCAGGCAAGGATCCAGTGGCCCCAGGCAAGGATCCAGTAGGAACTGAGTGGCCCCAGGCAAGGATCCAGTAGAATCTGAGTGGCCCCAGGCAAGGATCTGAGTGGCCCCAGGCAAGGATCCAGTAGGATCTTAGTGGCCCCAGGCAAGGATCCAGTAGGATCCGAGTGGCCCCAGGATCCAGGATCTGTGTGGCCCCAGGCAGGGTCCAGAAGGGATCTGGTGGCCCCAGGGATCTGGTGGCCCAGGCAGGATCCAGTAGGATCTGGGTGGCCCCAGGCAGGGTCCAGCGGATCTGGGTGGCCCCAGGCAGGGTCCAGCGGGATCTGGGTGGCCCCAGGCAGGGTCCAGCGGGATCTGGGTGGCCCCAAAGGCAGGGTCCAGCGGGATCTGGGTGGCCCCAGGCAGGGTCCAGCGGGATCTGGGTGGCCCCAGCAGGGTCCAGCGGGATCTGGGTGGCCCAGGCAGGGTCCAGCGGGATCTGGGTGGCCCCAGGCAGGGTCCAGCGGGATCTGGGTGGCCCAAGGCAGGGTCCAGCGGGATCTGGGTGGCCCAGGCAGGGTCCAGCGGGATCTGGGTGGCCCCAGGCAGGGTCCAGCGGGATCTGGGTGGCCCCAGGCAGGGTCCAGCGGGATCTGGGTGGCCCCAGGCAGGGTCCAGCGGGATCTGGGTGGCCCCAGGCAGGGTCCAGCGGGATCTGGGTGGCCCCAGGCAGGGTCCAGCGGGATCTGGGTGGCCCCAGGCAGGGTCCAGCGGGATCTGGGTGGCCCCAGGCAGGGTCCAGCGGGATCTGGGTGGCCCCAGGCAGGGTCCAGCGGGATCTGGGTGGCCCCAGGCAGGGTCCAGCGGGATCTGGGTGGCCCCAGGCAGGGTCCAGCGGGATCTGGGTGGCCCAAAGCAGGGTCCAGCGGGATCTGGGTGGCCCAAGGCAGGGTCCAGCGGGATCTGGGTGGCCCAAAGCAGGGTCCAGCGGGATCTGGGTCCCAAAGCAGGGTCCAGGGGATCTGGGTGGCCCAGGCAGGGTCCAGCGGGATCTGGGTGGCCCAAAGCAGGGTCCAGGGGATCTGGGTGGCCCAGGGTCCAGCGGGATCTGGGTGGCCCCAGGCAGGGTCCAGCGGGATCTGGGTGGCCCCAGGCAGGGTCCAGCGGGATCTGGGTGGCCCCAGGCAGGGTCCAGCGGGATCTGGGTGGCCCCAGGCAGGGTCCAGCGGGATCTGGGTGGCCCCAGGCAGGGTCCAGCGGGATCTGGGTGGCCCCAGGCAGCCAGCGGGATCTGGGTGGCCCCAGCGGGATCTCGGGTGGCCCCAGGGGATCCCCCAGCGGGATCTGGGTGGCCCCAGGCAGGGTCCAGCGGGATCTGGGTGGGCAGGGTCCAGCGGGATCTGGGTGGCCCCAGGCAGGGTCCAGCGGGATCTGGGTGGCCCCAGGCAGGGTCCAGCGGGATCTGGGTGGCCCCAGGCAGGGTCCAGCGGGATCTGGGTGGCCCCAGGCAGGGTCCCCCCAGGCAGGGTCCAGGGTGGCCCCAGGCAGGGTCCAGATCTGGGTGGCCCCAGGCAGGGTCAGGGGGATCTGGGTGGCCCCAGCAGGGTCCAGCGGGATCTGGGTGGCCCCAGGCAGGGTCCAGCGGGATCTGGGTGGCCCCAGGCAGGGTCCAGCGGGATCTGGGTGGCCCCAGGCAGGGTCCAGGATCTGCGTGGCCCCAGGCAGGATCTGGGTCCAGCGGGATCTGGGTGGCCCAAAGCAGGGTCCAGCGGGATCTGGGTGGCCCCAAGAGGATTTCAGTGGGATCTGGGTGGCCCCAAAAGGAATTCAGTGGGATCTGGATGGCCCCAAAAGGAATTCAGTGGGATCTGGATGGCCCCAAGCAGGATTCAGTAGGATCTGGGTGGCCCCAAGCATTATTCAGCGGGATCTGGGTGGCCCCAGTGTCTGATCTCCTGTGTCTCACTGGTGACCTTTCTCTCCCTCAGATGTGCAGAGTGACAGCAGCAGACACCACAGTGGACATACACAGGGGGGTCGCGGGTATCTACTTACTGTCTGACGATGGTCAAGGCGAAGCTGGCCATGGTGGGAGGAATCCTCTGCCCGGCACACACATGCCCCGATCACCGTGCCAGCCCTCCACTGCTCTGCATTGCGGGGCGACTCTCAGACTGATACAATGTACCACCACCTCAGCCAATCACAGCGTGGGACAGAGACCAGCTAGCGCTGACTTGGGCTGACAAGCGCGCTGATTGGCTGGCGCGGACAATGTGGACACTGACTGGCGTGAGTGCACCTTCCTCTAGGCTTTGTACGTGTTCATAGTGGGAAGTCAGTGGCGGTGAGCTGACACCGAGCCTCACACGTTCTTCAGCAGGCAGTGTGGTGGCTTCTTGCAGCGGCTGTGCACAGCTATGACTGGAAAACCTCAAGTATATCTATAACGTCTTCCATCGTGTGGAGAGCAGGGGAAAGTGTACACCCTGTCTGGGTCCCCATACAGAGATTTACCATCACTTCCTGTCCTCTACACACAACAGGAAGTGAGGAAACCCCTCAAGGTGAGGTGAACCTTGTCTCAGAGGTTAGACAAAAATATGGAAAGTGACCTCGTGTTCCACGTTGGAAGCAGAAGTGATGTAACATTCTTTTGCTTCCGCTGTGTGATGAGACACCTAGCTAACAGATGGGAGGCCTCACTTTCGTCGTTTGCTGTGTGTAATATGGAGTCCTGTCAGAGCTTACTGAGCTTCAAAGAGGGGAAATTGTTGGTGTCTGCTTAGCTGGTGCCTCTGTGACTGAAGTTGCCAATTTATTTGCTGTAACGCGAGGCTCAGTGTTTATTTATTTCAGGTATTCATATAGCGCTGTCAATGTACGCAGCGCTTTACACATATATATTGTATATTCACATCAGTCCCTAACCCTCAAGGGGCGTACAATCTAAGGGCCCTAACTCACATTCATACACACACATACTAGGGACAATTTAGACAGGAGCCAATTCACCTACCAGCATGTCTGGAGTGTGGGAGGAAACCGGTGTACCTGGAGGAAACCCCCACAGGCACAGGGAAAGCATGCAAACTCCAGGCAGGTGGTGCTGTGGTCGGGATTTGAACCAACGACCCTAGTACTGCCAGGCGGAAGTGCTAACCATTTATCCACTGTGCTGCCAGTATCAAAGGTTATAAAAGCATATACAGCTTCCGGGAAAACGTCGTCTGATATGCATAGGTGCGGTCGCCATGGTTACCTGAAATGGTTCGGAATTTCAAGTTTGTAACATTGTATAGCACAATGAAGCCACGGAATGCTTGTAGAAGGGAGAGCTTTCAGCAGTTGCAGGTGGAAAATGGAAAGGATTGGTTCCTGTGTATGCCGCCCCTCCTGTGCAACTGTAAAACTGAAAGTGATAGGGAGGCCGCATGGGCCCCCTGGAGCATGGGGGGGGTTAAACATTGTGACCCCTGACGCTACATTAGTAGTTGGGGAGTGTGGTAAAAACGTCTCAACCATGTGGTTTTACTGCCCCCAACCGTGAATGTAAATGAGCCCTTACTATTGTGAGCCTCCTATAAGGCTGTTTTCACACTGAAGCACTGCGGGTTACCCACATCGTGGGTGCAGGAACTTTCCTGCAGGTTAGCTGCGCTTTGCCATAGACTTCTATTACATTTGGTGGGTGTGGTGCACTTTCCGAAAGTGCATCATACCCACAGGATATAATAGAAGAGTGCTTCCCTGGTTTCAGGTCGAGGGCCACATCAGGGGGCTCTGAGGGCCACAGATTGAGCAGCCCTGGTCTAGAGAGACTCTCCACAGCTTTCAGGGCTGTATGATGACCACATTTCAGTTAGTTGTCTATATGCATTTCCTGCTGCCAGCTTTAGCATGAGGCTTTGCTGGTATCCGTGTCACTACAACACAATGAGAGCTGTCTGCAAAGGGGCTATGCTAAGTTTTGCTGGGAGCCATGGAAGTGACTCCCTAGTGTCTCCAAGAACTCTCCAAGAACACGTAAGACAACCTATCAGCAGCACAGGAGCCCTAATGCAGGCCATAGACGGGTTGTTTATCGGCCGAATTTTCGTCCACACATAAAATCGGCCGATATTCACGCCGTTAGTGGGGCCAGCCCATTGGCCGTTTTTCACGGATCTTCTCATTTATTTTTATCGGTCATGCTGGAAAAGACGAAAAATAGGTCATCCCCGTTGCCGATGCTGCCACCAATGTCCACAAAAAACGGCCGTTTTTCGTGGACATTGGTGGCATCATCGGCAACGGGGATGACCTATTTTTCGTTTATCGGCTGACAATTCGGCCGATAAATGGCCCGTATATGGCCTGCATTAGTCTATCTTAACCAGTGTATATTACTTACCCAGTGGTGTGTGGCCCAGAGATCTGGATTCTGGGCTGGCAGATTATACAGTTGCAAGAAAAAGTATGTGAACCCCTTGGGATTATGTGGAGTTTTGCATGAATTGGGCATAAAATGTGCTCTGAACGTCATCTAAGTCACAACAATAGAAGAACACAGTCTGCTGAACATAATACTACACAAACATTAGATGTTGCCATGGTTTAATTGCACATAACATGTAAACATTCACAGTGCAGGGAGGAAAAAGTATGTGAACCTTTAGACTTAATAACTGGTTGACCCTCCTTTGGCAGCAATAACCTCAACCAAACATGTCCTGTAGTTGCAGATCAGACCTGCACAACGATCTGGAGTCATTTTGGACCACTCCTCTTCACAAAACTGTTTCAGTGTAGCAATATTCTTGGGATGTCTGGTGTGAGCATTTCAATCGGGTTGAGGTCAGGACTCTGACTGGGCCACTCCAGAAGGTGTATTCTGTGCTGTTGCAGCCATTGTTTTGTTGAATTACTTGTATGCTTTGGGTCATTGTCCTGTTGCATCACCCATCCTCTGCGGAGCTTCAGTTGGCGGACAGATGGTCATACGTTTTCCTGCAAAATGTGTTGATAAACTCTGGAATTCATTTTCCCATCAATGTCACCAATCCGTCCAGGCCCTGAGGCAGCAAAGCAGCCCCAAACCATGATGCTCCCTCCACCATGTTTTACACTGGGGATGAGGTTTTGATGTTGGTGTGCTGTGCCTTTTTTTCTCCACACATAGTGTTGTGTGTTCTTCCCAAACAACTCAATCTTGGTTTCATCTGTCCACAGTATATTTTGCCAGTAGTGCTGTGGAACATCCAGGTGCTCTTTTGCAAACTTCAAACGTGCTGCAATATTCTTTTTGGAAAGCAATGGCTTCCTCCGTGGTGTCCTCCCATGTACTCCATTCTTGTTTAATGTTTTCCTTATTGTAGATGTGTCAACAAAAATGTTAGCATGTGCCAGAGATTTCTGTAGGTCTTTAGCTGACACTCTGGGATTCTTCTTTACCTCATGCATCATTCTGCGCTGTGCTCTTGCGTCATTTTTACAGGACGACCACGCCTAGGGAGAGTAGCAACAGTGCTAAACTTTCTCCATTTGTAGACAGTCTGTCTTACTGTGGACACATGAACATCAAGGATTTTGGAGATACTTTTGTAACCCTTTCCAGCTTCATGCAAGTCAACAATTCTTGATGGTAGGTCTTCTGAGAGCTCTTTTCTGCGAGGCATAGTTCACATCAGACAGTGCTTCTTGAAACCAGTAAACCCAAAACAGGTGTGTGTTTTTTAAGGGCAGGACAGCTGTCAGCAACACATCCAATATCATCACACTGATTGGAGTCAAGGTTGGCTCACTCCTGGCTCCAATTAGCTCTGGGAGAAGTCATTAAGCTAGGGCCTCACATACTTTTTCCTCCCTGCACTGTGAATGTTTACATGTTATGTGCAATTAAACCATGGCAACATCTAATGTTTGTGTAGTATTATGTTCAGCAGACTGTGTTCTTCTATTGTTGTGACTTAGATGACGTTCAGAGCACATTTTATGCCCAATTCATGCAAAACTCCACGTAATCCCAAGGGGTTCACATACTTTTTCTTGCAACTGTAAGCACCAAAAGATATATATGATGCTCAGCATAAATGAGTACACCCCAACAGATTTGTCTGAAAACCTTTCCTTTCCTTTCACAATCAACATTTTCTATGGGACACTATACTACAAAATACTCCTACAAATGTGCGCCATTGATTGCAAACAAGACTTGTTCATTTGCACACACAAAAAAAGTATTTTTCCTAACAAATTCATTGAAGACCATGTTGCAAAAATGAATACATCCCAATGAAAGTCTTAGCAGCAAAGCTACATTTTAGACAACAAAAACCTAATTAACAAGAATTCATACATTCATTCAATACAGGTGAGTCTAATTATTCATTAAACAGGTTTCCAGCAGATTATAAAAGTGCATTACTTAAACCCACAACAGTAAAATCATTCTGTATACAGTGAAGGAAATAAGTATTTGATCCCCTGCTGATTTTGAATGTTTGCCCACTCACAAAGAAATGATCAGTCTAAAAATGGTAGGTGTATTGTAACACTGAGAGACAGAATAGCAACAAACATTTCAAAAGAAATGCAAGTCTAACAAATTATGCACTGATTTGCATGTTCATGAGGGATCCCCTTCACAAAACATGACCTTTAAGAGCTCAGCTTGTTACCTGTATGAAAGACACCTGATAGCCAGAAATCCTGCTGAACGGTAGGGGATCAAATACTTATTCATTCATAATCAGTAGGGGATCAAATACTTTCCTTCACTGTGTATGCAGTAAGGCATGTATGTTATACTCACTGTGGAACCTAATACTCTGTATTGTGTAAAAAGGAGGTTGATCCTGATTGCTTCTTTCCTCCCCTTGTTCAAGTGACCACCTCTTATCTCTGATAACAGACAGACCGAACCGTAGGCATTTTGCACATGCTCAGTTTGGTGCGTATTGCTTGAGAAGTTTTTGTTTTCTTGGGAGAGTGCATGTGATCAGCACAGGGCCAATCAGCACTGGTCAGACAGAGGTCAGGGGTTTTGCATCCTCCTAGAGCAGAATGAAAACTCCTCCTACAAGCTTTAGCTAGTGCTTGGCTGGAC